TGTGTGATTCCTTCAATGGGGTGTTGTTCCTTGTCAACAAGGAGGGCAACAGTGGTAGGAGAGGTTTTTCAGGGAGAGAACAGAAGTAAGGCCACACCTAGGAATGGCTTCCACCTCCTTTCCCTTAGATCTCGAGGCAACTGCTGACATCTGGGTGCTACCTCAGTATAATCCCTTCAAGGGGGTGCTGCTTCCTGTCTCCATGAAGAATAACACTGATTACACAGACGAGTGACCAAGTATTTTACCCACTTGAGTCTTGGACCAGCTGACGCTGCCAGCTAATTTACATGAGGACAGTCAAAAAATGAAGGCGTCTTAGAGCAAAGTATTCTATTTATTCCAAATAAAATTTAACTAAGAGGAACTGTGTTCTCTGCGTTGATTTGTCACACCAAGCCATGCAAGGTGACTTGACTGTCCCAATACCTGGTGACAATTTCTACCTCTATAATTATGATTTTTCCAAGAGGGGCAGGTCCTTTTATCCTTTTATCAAATGACAAGCTAAGTGAGGCAAATATAGTTCCCAAATTAATCAGTTTATTGCACTGCACACAAGAGCTAAATAGGCAAAAATAAGCAAAAGGAATATATAAAGAAATTAGGTAACAGAAAATTACTTGAGCCCAGAATGCTAGTAAGACCCCAAGAACCATGCGTCCACACATGAAATTGTCCAAATGGTCTGGGGAAACTGTCCCCTTCAAGGTGTCGATGGATGGCTCTTGATGCCTACAAGCTGTCAGCAAGAAATGAAAGGCTTGTTACTCCATCAGAGCCTTCAATGGCTGGTGCAAGGGAAGATGCATCTAGCAGGTGATGGTGTCTCCATGAGATGTAAGACATTAGAATTTATTTCCCCCAGAAGTATATTATCTTAGCTTCTATCTGTGAAATTTGCAGGGAAAAGTAATGGAGTCAAACTATCTCGTTCTCATATGGGCACGCAGTGGTCAATGTAACTGTCAATCACGTAGAGTGAAGTAGGGGACCTCCGTGCTATTATCCAGCCACAGGGCTCAGTTAGAGGTTGTGTCACCAGAAAAAGCTCAAAATGGAATTGGTACTGCCAAAGTATAGTCATCATAACCATAATTAACCACAACATTACTGAGATTCACAAGAGTCTTAACACAGCAAAACACACATCACAACCATGAACTTTCACACAGGGTGTGGAGGACACTCTGATACATGGGACTCATAGTTCAACTCCTCTGTGGTTACACAACGTGAGGTCAATCCCAGCCTCCCCAGGATGTTCCAGGAGATCTAACCAACGCGTTCTCATTTCTCCGCATATTTATCTGCTCCCTCTTCTGCCTGAGACACCCCAAGGGATTTATGAGGGAAGCCTTCTGATAAAAGCCCTCCAACAACATGTTCTTATACTCATTCTCATTCTCTGGAACAAAAGTTTCTAATCTCATCAGACCCCACCCTCCTCAGTTTATAATATGCTTTATAATTTCTTTATTATCATGGAAAGGACTCCCTAAGACACCTCACTGCTCTTGGTGCCAGGAGTACCAGATTAACAAAAATCACCCCAGCACTTGAGGGGTGCAAGATTTGCATATAAGGAATTACAAATGAAGATTAAAGTTGTATCAAGGAGGGTCCTTGCATGAAGTAAAAAGACCACTGGGGGAGCCGGCGCTGTGGCACGGCAGGTTAAGGCCCTGGCCCGAACCGCTGGCATCCCATATGGGCACCGGTTCGAGTCCCGGCTGCTCCTCTTCCGATCCAGCTCTCTACTGTGGCCTGGGATAGCAGTGGAGGATGGCCCAAGTTCTTGGGACCCTGCACCCGCGTGGGAGACCTGGAGGAGGCTCCTGGCTCCTGGCTTCAAATCGGTGCAGCTCTGGCTCTTGCAGCCATCTGGGGAGTGAACCAGTGGATGGAAGACCTCTCTCTCTGTAACTCTGTCTTTCAAATAAATAAAATAAATCTTTAAAAAAAGACCATTGGGAAACAATAGTTGAAGAAATTTATTGAAATGTCTATTTACAAAGCTGGGGTAAGTCAAGGCACCTCAAGGAGTGGTAAAGCCCTCTGGCGTAGCAACACTGGGTCAGCAACAACGGGAACAAAGCAAAAAACAGTAAAGGGACCTAGGATCACACTGAGAGTCACAGTTGCAGGGAAGGGCCAACCAACAGGACCTGATACCTACCAAAGAGTAAGTATCTAATATCTACATAAACAGCTTCCAACATATGAACTGTTTATAAAATCAAAAGTGACTAGAAATTGTGGCAATGATTTCTGACTAATTTTCTCTTCGGCTTGATACATATTTATGCTATCCATAAATTTTGTAGAAGATAAACTAAAAATATTTAAGTTTTGGTATATATACTGACTTACATATTTTCCATACCAGATGGTAAATGTTCTATCATTCCTGAGCAGTCAGTGATAGAAATATAGAAAGACATAGAAAATTTTTTGTTTAAAAATTAAATTTAATATTAATTATTGCACCATCCCCAATGTTCATGGAGAGAATATATGTTTGAAATGATATCAGCTGTTATTTCTGACTGAACTGATGCCATTGGGTCAAGATTTGAGCCATTCTGTATAACTTGCGAATTTTCTAAAATATTCATGAAGAACAACTATGAGTGTGTATTAGCAATATTCTGCTGAGAGCTGCTGTGATAAGACAGCCCTAAGACAGCATGACTTTGCTCTGTGTTGACTTTACTCCATCTTGCTCTGAGCTTTCTTCCACAGTCTTTCATCCCTCCTTCTGCATTCAATAGCTTTGTCTGCATATACTTTCCCTTTGAAACTTTTAATTCATTTGCAACATCCTACATCATCAGGGCAACCAAGGACATCTAGTAGAAAAAATTAGTCTTTAATCTCACAAATTGGCAAAATCTTCTCGAAAACTATGGTCCCAGTTAGTAATACTTGAAGAATTTTATTAAGTTCAATACATATTTACTAATCATTTTCTTTGTCTCCTGGATTGTTTCAGAGGACACCATGGAAGACTGAGTTCTGAATGACAGGATGAAGCCAGTGTGAGAAGATCCAGCTGAGAGATTCTTAACCAGAAGCCCCAGTGAGGGCATGGGCCTTGGTCAGGAACAAGTTGAGTGCATCTCAGGTGCAAGAGGGAGGCCAGTGTGGTGGGAGCATGGTGAGGATGTGCTGAGAGATGAGGTCAGAAGGCAGGCATGGGCGTATTAATTATCTACTGCTGCATGTCAAACTGCCCAAAGTTCAAGGCCTGAGAGAAACAAGCATTTGTTTGTATGTATGTTTGTCATACATTCACACAATGTATGAAGGTCAGGACTCTTGGGAGCAACTTAGCAGCTGGTTCTGGATCAGGATGTCTCAGGAGGCGGCAATCAAGTCATCAGCAGGCTACAGTCATCTGGAGGCTTGGCTGGATAGGACCCACGTCCAGGGTGATGCACTCCCACGGCTGTTGGCAGAGTCTCACTTTCTCTCTGGAAGTTGGCAGAAGACTCCATTTCCTTTGACATCTCTACTTCTCTGTGGGGCTGCTGCAATGTTCTCATGACATAGCAGCTAACATCTCCAAGAGGGAACAAGAAGAAAACCACATTGTCTTTATGACTTGCACTGTAAGTCATGCTACTGAAGGCAGTGATCACTGGGAGAGATCCCCTGGGCTGAGAGTGCAGATATAGAGGCTAAGGGAAGCTGAATGGAGGCAGCCAGGAGTCTGAGTGAAGGAGAAGAGACAGAGGAACAGGGGTGTCACGACACCAACAGAGGAGAGTGAAGACTGAAGGGTGAACTCTGGATCTGGTAACAGGACCTGACCAGAGCAGATGCGGTGGAGCAGGGGACAGAGAAGCTGACCAGAGTGAAGTGAGGAGAAAATGGAATTGAGGAAACAGATGGCAACTGAAAGCCTCAGAAGTGCCCTGGCATTTACTTTGATACAGTCTCATGGCAGTGAGGGGAGTGGCTGGAAGTGGTTATCATTTTCCTGTGGCTCCTGTCACAGATTGCTGCAGACTGACCAAGTGAAACAACAGAAGTGTTTTGTTACCCTGTGAAAGCCAGAAGACCAAGGGGAAGGTGTCAGCAGGACCTCAGTCCTCTGGAGGACTCCCTAGGAGGGAATCCCTCTCAGCTTCTCCCAACATCTGGTGGCATCTGCATTCCAAGCCTTCTGAGGTTAGGGCCACATCACAGTAATATTTGCTTCTGTCTTCTACCTCCTCACTCTTGCTCATTTGTGTCTTCTTTTCTGTCACAGGGATACTTGTCATTAAGTTTAGGACCTTTGCAGACCATCCAGGATGATCTGAAGTTCTTTGAATAAATTGCATCTGCAAAGACTCTTAGCAAATAAGGTCACATTCAGAGGATCAGGGATTTGGACGCAGACCTGTGTTGTAGAGGGCTACTATAAGTGAGCTCAGTCCATGGTATAGATGAAAGAAGATTCTTGGCAATTGCTGAAAAGTCAAAACAAAGAATATGTGCAAAGGCCCCCAGGCTAGCAAGCCTAATGTGAGTGAGGCAGGCAGCCAAACCATAAGAGTGATATTGCTAGATTTAGCAGGTAACATAGAGGACACCCAGATAAATTTGTATTTCAAATAAGTACTCAATAGTTTTTAGCACAGCCATTTACCATAAAATGCAAGGGACAAAGTTATACTAAAAAGCTACTTATTCTTTGGCTGAAATTCTCCTGTAATTGAGTGTCCATGATTTACTTAGCAAACTGGCATGATGATTTCCAAAATGGAATCAGCTCATTCTACAGACCATCACCTACTGCTAAGCTCACAGTGTCAACTTTTCATTCTTAGTGGTTTATTCATCTCCTGAAAACCCCAAAGTGAGTTTCTTCAAAGCACCATTCCCCTTTAACTGCAAAACAGAGTGACATTTATCTGAAATTTCTGCTTAAACATTTCTGGCCAAACTTGAAAAGTAACATATTAACCAGATGCACCCTGAGAGGAGTAAGACTTAGCTGTTTCCTTTTAATCAATTGTGGACTTAGCTGACCCTGCACACCCCCATGAGTGTGGTTTTTCCCTAACTGATGGGTGTGGTTTTTCCCTAACTGAAATGAATAAATAGCTACACAACACATCAGGAACTCTATTGAGTTTCTGGGCCAAGAACATCAAAACCTTTTACTAGGTGAGTACTGATCTTATATAACTTCCTACATTCCCCTCTCTAGCTACCTAGAAAAATACTTTAAAATATGTCCTCAGCAAAAGAAAAGTCATTTTATACTCACCTTGTACCTTCTAGCTGTGTTAGACAATAGTTCAACAGTTTTTTATTCTGTCTCTGTGGAATACATCTTTACAGACATATAAAAATAAAGAATTTAGAAAAAACTAGAGCATGACATAGTAGTAGAATGAAAACAGCTTGTGTCATGAGGAGAAAAAGAGGGGGTAGCATTTTAGATCAGCTGAGAATATGACCACAGCCAGAAGAATGTGGGAATTTATGCTAATATTGCAATCTTTGTAGGAGTACTTGGCAGATTAATTGTGAATTTTAATACTCTAATGCTACATAGGCTATGAACACTCAAAAGTAAGATTTATTGTGTTGGGAATAAGTTAGTCTGAATGTCAGGAGAACTGAATTCTAATTCAATCTTTGCCTCTAATTAGATGACAAGTCTCTTTCTCTTTTTGGAGTTCAGTCAACTCATGGTAAAACCTAGAGAATGGCTAAGGCAGGTTGCTCAAGCTTGGAACTGCTGCCCTTTTTTCCACCGGGAAACTCTTTGTTGTAGGGGGCTGACCTGTCCAATGTAGGATGTTTAGAGGCGTTGCTAGTCTCTACCTATCTGATTCAAGAACACTATACCCATTCTCCTCCCCTTGTTGGAGCAACCAGAAATGTCTCCACATTGCTTAATGTCTTCTGCAAACAAAGGCAAAATCACCTGTTGTTGAGAACCTTCTAGCACTAAATCCCATTGATGAAAGAAATAGATAAATACTGGAGCACAAAACAAGTTTTTGCAAACCATACAAACAGCTGGCTGAAAGGTACAAGTTTACAGGATCAGAATACAGAAGTCAGCAATGACCTAGAATAACCGTACTGGAGAGTGGCAGGGCAGGGGGAGTTTAGGGTCATAACCAAAGGACTTTAGCACATAGCAACGCCTCCTGCTTGGAAAAGGAGATGGAACTGAATTCCAGTGCCAGGCCTACTCTGAAAAACATCTGTTAGCTGACCCCTTACCTGACCCAGTCTTCATTCCTTGTGTAGCAATTGGGAGCTTCTGCAGCCAGGTAGACTTTGCCATCCCTCCCTCAACCACCTGCAGAAAGTGAAACTCCAGTGGGCAGAGAGGCCATGAAAGGGAGCTTAGGATGGCACCTTAGAGCTCACAGTCAGGTCTACCCCACCGAGACCCTGCACCTGTTAAATCCCAAAGGCCTACCACCCCAAAACTGCTCACAGACAGCCTCCAGACTTGTGCAACATGAAGCAATAGCTGCACTCCTGAGGGTCACACTCATTTTGTTGTGTGTCACTGCTAGCTTCTGGTGGGGTTTAATGGACACCCCCAGGACTTTGTAGGAACCTCTGACTCTGGGGCCTAGGTGTGACCAGTCTGAGGGACCAGAGGAATGCCTTTATCACTCTCCTCTAAACTTGTGCAAGCAAAGGTCCACAGGACTGTGCCTTTGGACTCAGTGCTATGCTGGGAAAGCCCAACACTGTGCAGATCCTAGAATTTTCATGAGACAAGTGTCTGTGGACAGTCTTTGAACTTGTCCTGGTATTAGGCGGACAGACTCATTTTGGACTGTTTTCCTAATAGCTTCTGCCAGCCTGGTGGGTACTCTCAAGATTTCCCAAGGTCTGGTGACTACAAGATCCCAGAGTGATCCATTCCAGTCTGTTTTGGTAGCTTAAAGATTGCCTCCATCACCCCTCCTACAACCTTGGGCAGATGAAAAGGAATAATAGGACTATTTGAGTACTTAATACCAGGCTGATAGAATTCAGCATTCAGCAGGTCCTAATGGTCCCTATTCCCAGGCCTCTTCCTGCACACAGAATCTTTGGACCTGTTTCAGTGCCCAACAGAATTCCATGGTCCTGGTTGAGCATTCTTATACCAAAGTCAACATCAACAATCGTTCATTGATGTGACTTCAGGCAGTGAGACCAACTCATTAGCACACAGACCATAGTGGGGTGAGGTTTGGTCCTACCCCCAGGATGCACTGGTCTTGGTGGGTGAGGGCTTCAGATGTGATCTAACATCATGGTTATCTGTGGGACATAGGACAAGGAGTCTGAACCTACCATAGGTCTGGGAAAAGGCTTCAGGTATGGACTATTCCTTTTAAGGCACTTCCCATGTTCATATTGAAAAACACATCAATTGCAGGTTTGGGGCAAATTTAATTTGAGAGAGTATAGTAAGACTGAATCAATAAAATCATACCAACTGCAGAACTGAGGCAAATTGTGAATTAGGGTCCTATCTAGTGCTGAAATGGGAGAATTATCCAGACAAAGAAAATAAACAGACTGTTTAAAATGTCTAAAAGGACAGCCACAAGCAAAGCTAGGTTATTATAACTAATCCTTCAACACAGAGACAACACTATGTATCAACAAGCATCAAGAATTTCCAAGGAGCTATGACCTCAGCTAAAGATCAAAATGAGGTGCCAGAAACCAACCATTTAGGAAATGAAATTTCCAAATTATTGGGTGAAAATTTCAAATTGTGTTAAGAAAACTCAAGAAAATTCAAGAGAATATAGAGAAACAATTCAATGTTCACACAGAGATTTGATAGAGATGGAAATAACTAAAATCAAGCAGAAATCTTTTGACTGACAAGTATCCTAAGTGATATTAAAACTGTAAATAGGGGACTGGCGCCGTGGCTCACTTTGTTAATCCTCCACCTGCGGCGCCAGCATTCCATATGGGCGCCGGGTTTTAGTCCGGGCTGCTCCTCTTCCAGTCCAGCTCTCTGCAGTGGCCCGGGAGGGCGGTGGAGGATGACCCAGGTGCTTGGGCCCCTGCACCCTCATGGGAGACCAGGAAGAAGTACCTGGCTCCTGGCTTCGGATCGGCGCAGCGCACCGGCCATTGTGACCATTTGAGGAGTGAACCAACGGAAGGAAGACCTTTCTCTCTCACTAGCTAAATATATCTGTCAAATAAATTTTTTTTAAAAAACTGTAAATAGAAGGCATCAATAGCAGAATAGATCAAATAGAGGAAAAAAATTGATGGGGTCATTGACAGACTATCTGAAAAGACATAGTTGGGAGAGAAAAGAGTCAAGAGGAATGAAGAAAGCTTACGGAAAATATAGGATAGCATGAAGAGAGTAAATATTCAAATTGTTGGAATTCAATAGGGACATGGAACTAGTTTGGTGCATTATGGGGATAGCCAATGATAGGTAACAATTTAGGTTAAAGAAAACTTTAATCAAACTTCTCCATTCATGCTATAAAGAAGGCAGATACTGGGGTGGGAGTTTGGCATAGTGGTTAATATGTCGCTGGGGATGCCTGTGTCCCATATTGGAGTGCTTGGCTCAAATCCTAGCTCCATTCCTGATTCCAGCTTCCTATTGTTGCTCACCCTGGGGGAAGCAGTTGATGACTCAAACAGCTGAGTTCCTGTCACCCACTAAGGGAGACCCAGATTAAGATCCTGGCTCTTGGCTTCAACCTAGCCCAGTCCTTGCTATTGTGGGGACCAGTGATTGGAAAGTATCTCTCTCTCTCTCTCTCTCTCTCTCTCTCTCTCTTTCTGTTTCACTCTGCCTTTCAAGTAAATAATATTTACAATTTTAAAAATACAAAAAGGCAGGTACTCATTTAGTGTTATTAGTGTTATTCAAGAATATATCATAAAATAATTATTATTTCATGGTTTCATTCATTCATTCCTTTATCCATACTTAGGGAAACCAGGAAACCACCACTATGGCAGGGAAGCCCAAGCTTCACTACTTCAATGCACGGGGCAGAATGGAGTCTATCCGGTGGCTCCTGACTGCAGCTGGGGTAGAGGTATGTTCTGAGTGAAGTCAGCTTAAGGTGATCTAAAACTGACTGTATTAGATACTTTTCTCACATAAGCTAAGAGATGTGACCTACTAAATGATCAGAAAAACGTGATGTCTTAAATAAAAATTGCCAAAGATGGAGAAAGAAATTAACAGATTGATTTTATTAACTGTTACTATTTCTTCTCATTAAAGACAATAATCAGGGCTGGAACTGTGGCAATGAAGGCTAAGCCTCTGCCTGCAGTGTTGGCATCCCATACAGGCGCTGGTTTGAGTTCTGGTTGCTCCACTTCCGATCCAGCTCCTTGCTAACTCACCTGAGAAAGCAGCAGAAGATGGCCCAAGTGCTTGGGAAACCCAGATGGAGCTCCTGCTTCATGGCTTCAGCCTGGTCCAGCTCCAGCCATTGTGGCCATTTGGGGAATGAATCAATGGATGGAAGATCTCTATTTTCTTCTCTCTATCTCTGGTTCTCAAATAAATAAATAAATCTTTTAAAAAAAGATAATAGGGCCGGTGCTGTGGCATAGTGGGTAAAGCTGCCACCTGCGGTGCCGGCATCCCATATGTGTGCCAGTCCAGGCCCCAGTTGCTCCTCTTCTGATCCAGCTCTCTGCTGTGGCCTACAAAGGCAGTGGAGGATGGCACAAGTCCTTGGGCCTCTGTACTCACATGGAAAGACTGGAGGAAGCTCCTCACTCCTGGCTTCTGGCTTTAGATCAATTTAGTTCTGGCCATTGCGGCCAACCAGGAGGTGGACCAACAGATGGAAGACCTCTCTCTCTCTCTGTCTCTCCTTCTCTCCCTGTGTAACTCTGCCTTTCAAATAAATAAATAAATAAATCTTTTTTAAAAAGATAATAATCATGTTAAGTTTAACACACTAATTATTATATGTGGATTGGATTATACAAAATCAGATTTTTTAAAACTATGAAAAATTGCATGTTATTTAACAATTGAAATATTCATTAGATATTTGATAGCATTGAAAAATTATTATTAATATCTCAGATGTGATAATACATTTAATGATTCTTATGTAATAAAGAAACACAATGAATATTTAAGGATATAAAGTAGTCATGTGTCTGTTAGCAACAGATACATTATAAGAAATGTGTTGTTTGATGATTTCATTGTGGGAACATGGATGTGTTTGGCCACACAAACTTAGATGGCTTAGCCACTACACACCTAGGCCAGACAGTATAACCTGTTGCACCTGGGCTACAAACCTGTAAAAATGCTACTGTGCTGAATGACACAGGCAGCTGGAACACAGTTTGTAAGCATTTATGTTCTAAATATGTCTAAACAGAAAAGGTACAGTGAAAATATGATGTAGAAGATAAACCATGGTACATCTGTATAGGGCACTTCCAAGACAGGAAGTTGCTCTAGGTGAGTGAGTAGTAAGTGAGTGAGTAGTATGAAGGCCTGGGACATTGCTGTACACTACTATGAACTTTGTAAACACTATACACTTGGGCTACACTAATTTCATAAAATTTTTCTTTCTCCAGTAAATTAACCTCAGTGTACTGTAACTTTTTTGCTTTTCAAGCCCAATTTTTTAAACTTTTAAACATTTTCACTCTTTTGTAATAACATTTAGCTTCAAACAGGCATGATTCCAACAGCCACAGCTTCCCCTTCTCTACCTCAGCCTGATAGAAGAGGGTGCTGGGCAAGGGCTGACTGCACTCCTCACCCAGAGCTTGTGGGTTCTGCCCCAAGATTGATCACCACCGTCCCATCCATTGCCATCAGCTTCGTGAGCATCACCACACAGGCCAGCCACACCCCACCTCCACCAGCATTTTGTAGGGAGCATGCACCACCCCTTATGTTTTTTCTGAACCAGAAACTTTATGGATTTATGGAATATAATACTTTAAATCTCTATATCTTGATGCCTTGATTATGTAAATCCACAGAAAACTCTGTTTTTCATACAAGAAATTAGGAACACAAATTCATGACTTTTTCATCATAAAGAACTCCCTAAAACTACAATAGCTACTGCAAAATACCACTACAATTAGCTACTTAATTTGGATGGGCCATGACATGCACTGTGTATCTTAAAAACACTATAGTATTCTCTTTACCAAAATGTCCTCCTTCCATTTTACGGATGAGGAAATTAAGACTTGAAGACATTAAATGATTATGTCCAGATCACATCACTACTTGAGGCAGAACTAAGATGGGAAGTAAATCATACTGATATTGAAACACAGAAAATCTTAATTACTGACTATCTCCTTAGATTTAGTTTGCATAGATCCTGCTTTATTCTTCATTAATATGTAAAACTCATTTTCATATTTGTATTAAATACTAGCAACCACTTAAAGTTTGTGATTATATTGAGATACCCTTGCAACTGAATACCACTTCAACCTAAACGACTTGTCTCAGGTTGAGGCACATTTTACACCACAGTTTAAAGGACTGGATATAGATAAAGAAAAATGTACATTTTCATCAACAGAAGATTGGCTTAAGTTTCCTAAAAATGCAAGATGTAATGAAAAAATCAGCATCTGTCAAAGCCCTACTGCTAACTTATATTTATCAAGCACTTAAAATGCATCTGGTATTTTCTAAGTGCTTTGCATGCCTTAGTGCTTCAATCCCCATACCAAGCTATAACATTTGTGTTATAACTATTCTTGGATTATAGATTAGTATACTGAAATTCAAATTTATGCAGTAATGAGTCCAAGGTCAAGAAGTCATTACATGAAGAAAGTCGTATTAAACCTACTTGGTCATATCAGAAACCAAAGCTTTGATGAAAATAAAATGCTGTGAGGATTCCAATTGCTTCATTAAACTAGGAATTCCATCTTAGTTTGCTTTCCATGAGAAGACGTTTTGGGTGTATGATTCAAAGATATGCAACAACAAGGTCCCATTTCACCCTTGATTAGCTTTCTGGGTAATGGGGTGTTGGAAATTACAGCTGAGATGTTTTGGTTGAAAAATTAGGTGGCTGTTGACCCATGGCATACCCCATGCTGGTTTTGCTCTGATCTCATATGAAAACACGGACTTTTCTGAGGTACAAAGTCCATATGTAGAAGAACCTGCAGTCCCTTCCCTCCAGTGACATACCCAAAACACAGGCCTAATTATGGACAGTGCTCATCATGGAGGTGCTGCTACAAAAATGGGCAGCTGTGGGCTATGATTTATGCTCTTTTTTTGATGTATCTAATCTAAATTTGCAAATAGTCATAACCAAACTTCTCTGTGTACCTGCCAAACTCAGAAATCTTACCTTCTCAACATTATATGCCAGACAGGGACCATTGAAGTTAAAAATTCATAATTCTATGAAGTTAACTAAAAAGAGCTCTTTGTTTCTGTCTAGTTTGAAGAGAAATGTATGAAAACTCGAGAAGACCTGGAAAAGTTAAGAAAAGGTAAGAATAACCATCTAAATTTCTCTGATGAGGGTATTGACCAGAAGGTTAAACACCAGGCAATGCTTAGGTGTTTATAGAGTGATATTTGGGGATGGAGGAATGAGACTGTAATGTGAAAGGGGTGGAACTTGAGCTGGTATAGCAGTACGCTATAAGGGGGAAAATATCTAGATCTCTTTGAGTATTTGTTAAAGTAATCCTCCATACTCCCTCGGTGTCCTGGAAACGCCCTCTCTGCTTTGTGAGACTTTCTGCACCATGAATGAGTTACAGTCAACTCAGGCTCACACACTGCCCTCTACACCCAAAGAGACACAGGGGCATGCATTAGACAAAAAGAGCATAAATTAGTCTAGCAATAAACTTAAGTTCCTTCTTCACATTTCACACTTTATAAGGTCATTACCTTGCAACAGTTTAGACTTGATAAGATGTTGCTGAATTAGCTGGAAGTCCAGATGAGAGTGTTAAGAAGGAGAGAAAGAACAATGGCCAGCAGCCATGGGGTCAAGGACACAGGCCCACCTTGCACATACTGTCCAGTGGTGTTATTTAAAGGCACGCAGAATGTCCCACATAGAAATCTCTCTCTGAGCTGATGCTGATGTCATGAACACCGTGAGTTTTGGGGAACTTCCTATTTTTTTTTTTTGACAGGCAGAGTGGACAGTGAGAAAGAGAGAGACAGAGAGAAAGGTCTTCCTTTGCCGTTGGTTCACCCTACAATGGCCACCCTGGCCGGTGCACCACGCTGACCCGAAGCCAGGAGCCAGGTGCTTCTCCTGGTCTCCCATGGGGTGCAGGGCCCAAGCCCTTGGGCAATCCTCCACTGCACTTCTGGCCCATAGCAGAGAGCTGGACTGGAAGAGGGGCAACCAGGACAGAATCCGGTGCCCCGACTGGGACTAGAACCCGGTGTGCCGGCGCCGCTAGGCGGAGGATTAGCCTAGTGAGCCGCGGCACTGGCAAGAACTTCCTATTCCAAGTGGCATCCAAATGGCTCCCAGGTATAATGTCTCCAAACTTCCCCCTAAAATCTCCAAGAAGATAAATTAAACACAAAAATACAGGGACCCGCCAAGTATCTAGATAGAAAATAAAAATACTAATGAAATAATAGCATGAAAAAGTAAAAGGAAGATTGATAAGAAAAAGAGGAACTATCAGAAGATAAAAGACTGTTTTACTTGAAAGGTAACCAGGAAATCCTTTTTTCATCTTATCAGCTCAGCCATTTTCAACAGATGTGCTTTCTTATTGAAACGAGAGCTACAGTCATTTCACTTTTCTTTTTCCTTTTTTTCTTCCAAAAGATGGGGTATTGATGTTCCAGCAAGTGCCCATGGTTGAGATTGATGGGATGAAGCTGGTGCAGACCAGAGCCATTTTCAACTACATTGCAGACAAGCACAACCTGTATGGGAAAGACATAAAGGAGAGAGCCCTGTACGGTATATTTTTTGTTCTTACATCTGCAGATAACACAGGGATGATGTGGGTCTTGCCACTACTGAACAGGACTGTGGCAGGGGGAGCAGAGCCTGCTGCAGGCTGGGGCTTGGGCATGTACTGAGGTCTAGTATGGCAGAGTCCTATGGAGATGAGTAAGAGTAATTTTGGATGGATTCAGGTAACTCTGGTCATAGAAGAGGAGGCAGTTGACAGATACGGCTCACTATCAGAGGTTTCCAAACACTGATGGAACCATTTAGAAGATGAAGGAATCTTCTTTCCAAGTGCTTTTAGAGGCTAGACTGCAACCAGCAACTCAAGACAGGGCACTAAAGTGAGTTTATAAGGATGAAGACCCGGGAAAGTTGAATCCAAAGGATGTGATTCTTAAATTCCAGAAACTAAAAGAACAGTGTTTTTGGACTTATGATACCAGTCGTATAGTATAGTATAGTATAGTATAGTATAGTAGCAAGTCATTAACCATGCTACATTTGTGCACAGGACACAATATAGCTGAGATGCAAACACTAATTTTTGCATCATTGGTCACACAGAGAGATCCACCACATTCTCTTATGATCATGACCCTGAACAGGTCACTGACATTAGTTGTAACTGTATTTGGTCATGGATAGAACAAAAATTTTACATATTTATTTACCCTTTAGATTGTTCTCAGAAATAAATGTAAATATAATGCAATGCTGAATATATATATATTCCCAGGTAAAGTTTAGTAAAGGCTGATGCTGAAGATAGTTGCATTATTTGAAGCATTTCACATAAAACCAAAGAAGCCAGAGTCAGTACCTATAAATATTGGGACCTCTTCCTTGTTACAGTGGTGCTACTTGATTGAAAAAGTCATGTATGCAGCTGTTGGCAGTCTCAAAAAGTTAAACATAGAATTACCAATGATCTAGCAATTTTATTAGGTTTATATCCAAAAGAAAATACATCATATCTAATACAGAAATTTCATAGTAGCATTATTCATAAAGTGGAAATAAACCAAATATCCATCAACAGATGAATGGACAAAGTACAAAGTGGGTTCTATGCATACAATGGAATAGTATTTGCCTATGAGAAGGAATGAATTACTGACTCATGCTACAATATGGAGGTAGCTTGAAATTATTACTCTCTAAAAAAAATGAATTAAAAAGTAGTTTCTTGGGCTGTGGCAAGGGGAATTGAAAAGTGGTTGCCTCCCAGATACGCAGGTTTTTTTGGAGGTAGTGATAAACATGTTCAGGAATTACAGGATGAGGGTACTTGCAGAATCCTGTGACTGTACCGAAACCACTGAATAGTATACCTTAAAGGGGAAAACAATTATGGTTTGCGACTATTTTAATAAATCTACTATTTTAAAAAGATATTTTAATAGCTGTTTCAAACAAAGGAAAAAAGGCCTCATATCATATGATTTTCTTGTACCTGTACACAGAAATGCACTGCATAAGGGAATATTTTAGGTGAGAGCCCAAGAAAAGCAAGCATAACTGGAGCTGGAAAACAGCATATAGAGAGAGCTGTGAAGTCATGTTTTATGAGAAATAATTAGCAGAATTTCTGACATTGGGTATAAAAATGACCTGGGACATGTAACCCGATAAGAGAGGGAGAGGGACATGTGTGACATGGCCATGACAGAGACTCCGTTGTGAGATAAATTAGCTGGCAAGTCATTTGCCAAATGAACCACACTATGGTTGTGCACCAGACACAACACAGCACAGCAGAGATAGAAAACATATTTGTAGCAGCAGTGGTTACATTCAGGGATGCACCATGTGCTCTCAGGAGTTTCACTCTGAACAGGTAATCAGCACTCGTTGGAAATGTATTTGGTCATCAGTATAACAAAAATTAAGGCATTTATGTTTTCCCTTAGGCTATTATCAGAAATAAGTGTAAATATGTAAATAAAAGTCATAGTACAATGGCTTGGATCTCAAAGGCCCCCCCAGGAGATGAATTACTTTGCCATCCTCTACGCTCCCTTATATTAAGTTTTTAAAGTATAAACTCTAATACAGGAGGGACTTGATAGTTTGGTTGTTTTTGTTTCTCAGGATTGATATGTATACAGAAGGCATAGTAGATTTGAATGAATTGATTCTTACTCGTCCATTCCTTCCACCGGAGGAACAAGAGGCAAAACTTGCTCAGATCAAAGATAAAGCAAAAAACCGTTATTTTCCTGCCTTTGAAAAGGTAAATGGAAGCTACTTCATTTTTAAGGGCACTAAGGGTTTAGAGGCTGTCTTGGGCATAAGAATATATCATCACAGTGTGGGCTGCTATAGTAAAAATGCCATTCACCAAATGGCTTCAAGCACAGGTGCTTACGTCTCCAGTTCTGGATATGAGGTGTGCAAGGTTAAGGCACTGAAAGAGTCAGCGTCTGGCGAGGGCCCGTTCTGGGTTCACAGATGGCCAGCTTCTGGCTGTGCTCTAACATGATGGAGAGGCCAAGAGAGCTCTGTGGGGTCCCTTTCATAAGGGCACTAATGCCATTCCCGAGGGCTCCACCCTCAAAACCTAATCACCTTCCAATGGTACACCTATTCACAGTGTCACTTTGGGGGTTAGGATCTCAATATGTGGTTTTATTGAGACTGAGACATGCAGTCAGTCACAAAAGACAGCAGAGAAAGAGTGGCTTGGCTTTCCAGAGGCTTTCACCTTTGCTTCCAAAGGGCCTTCCTTGATATTAATTGAGCACACAGGTGCCCAAGGAAGTGTGTGAAAATACACGTGAAGAAGAACTACATCAGTTAAACTAAAGATACATTTTTTTTCAGAAAATGTTAATTTACTAGAACCCAAACTAGAATGCTCAATTGGAATTTCAAAGGCATTTCTAGATGTGATCTGTGGAAATCATTGGTTCCTACTAGAGGTTGTAGTAGACCACATAGAAACCCCACCTTTTGACTAAAGAGCAACGTGATGACAGCAACATCACAAAGCAATCTGGTACCGTATGTACAGATACAGGAGAGCAGCTGCCCAACAAGAGGACCCTATTGTGTTTCAGGGGCAGATGATGTGGATCCAAATAGTGATAGTAGTGGAAGAGGGAGGGAGAGGAGGACAGGAAAAAAAGTGATGTTAATAAAACAATAACCTGGGGCTGGCACTGTGGCGCAGAGGGTTAAAGCCGCGGCCAGCAGCACCAGCATCCCATGTGGGCGCCGGTTCGAGTCTCAGCTGCTCCACTTCCAATCTGGCTCTCTGCTTTGGCCTGGGAAAGCAGTAGAAGATGGCCCAAGTCCTTAGGCCCCTGCACCCACGTGGGAGATCTGGAGGAAACTCCAGGCTCCTGGCTTCGGATCGGCTCAGCTCTGGCCGTTGCGGTCATTTGGGGAGTGAACCAGCAGATGGAAGACCTCTTTCTCTCTCTCTCTCTCTGTCTGGCTCTACCTCTCTCTGTAACTCTTTCAAATGAATAAAATAAATATTAAAAAAAGAGAAAAGAATAATCTACAGAATCTGGAGACACAGTTCTCAAATATATGAGGAAAGGTGTGAATAAAACAAGGAAACAAAGTGTCATCATTGTATGTTAGTATTTTTCTTAGCTAAGGACCTTTGTGAAAGGAAAAGGAAAATATTTTTGAGATCACACCATACCTGAAATTCTGTCCAATAAAAGTCACAAACAAAAAATATTTATAAGATATAAGGGAAATTTTTGAATAAAGGACCAACTGTTTAACACCCATTTTATGGAGCATGATAATATTCATTCTTTCCTTTATTGAACAAATGCTAAGTTATGGCTGTGTGCCAGACCTTATGCAACAATGAGGAATTTAAGAGGAATTAAATCCTCAAATATGCCCCTTGCCCCTCAGGTGCTTGCAGTACACAGCACATTCACACAATGAGAAGCTCTCCACTTCTCAGTGTTATACGCTGTGAAATCAAACAGCCTCAGGATCATAAGTGAACAAAGCATATTACAATACAGCATATGATATCCCTTGTTTTTGCACCAAATTATTCTTCATGCTTCTTTATGCATACAGATTCTAATAGGCTTTTTGCCGAAATATTGTATCTTGATGATACTATGTGTATCTCCTATGCTTCATGATTTCAATATTGCTTGAAAATTCTCATCTACAGCATATATTTTTATTTATTTTTAATTTGCCTGTATCTCATAAATACAACATTATGTAAATTACAATTCTTCCCTCTCACTCATCCCCCCCCCAGCTCCCTCTCCTGTTTTATCTGAGAAAGAAAAATAAAAAGAAAGAAAAGGAAAAAATAACAAATGAAGTAAAAAAAAAAAACCTAAGAGAAGTGTTCCTCAACAGTCTGTACAAGGGCTAAAATATGTTATTGCTTCTCAAAGGTGATTTTGCTTTTTTTTCCTCCTTCCTCTTTTCCTTTCCTTCCTCCCCCTTCTTTCCTTTTAGAAACTTAATTGTCTTTAAAGAAGAATACAGCACACATTAATTCAAAATTTTACTATGATATATTTAACACATACAAATGATTGAAAGAAAAGATTTTTTTAAAAAAGATTTACTTATTTGAAAGGTAGAGTTAAAGAGAGGCAGAGGCAGAGAGAGAGAGAAAGAGAGAGAGAGAGAAGTCTTCTATCCATTGGTTCACTCCCTAAATGGCTGCAACAGCCAGAGCTGCACCGATCTGAAGCCAGAAGTCAGGAGCTTCTTCCAGACCTCCCACGTGAGTGCAGGGGCCCAAGGACTTGGGTCATCTTCCACTGCTTTCCCAGGCCATAGCAGGGAATTAGATCAGAAGTGGAGCAGCTGGGACTCAAACCGGCACCCATATGGGATGCTGGCACTGCAGGTGGAAGCCTCACCTCCTACGCCACAGTGCCAGCCCCGAAAGAAAAGATTAGCAAACACATAGATACCACCACCTAATAAAATAATGGACATACTGTGTTTGATTTGTCCTATGTATTCACCTCTCCAATTATCTACATCAGAGTATTTTTCAGTCCTTTCAAAATAAGTTTCAAACATCAGTGTAGTTCACCTGTATATTTTTTAGCAGCAGATTTCAATATAGTGCAATTTAAGAGTCAAAAACAATGTTTCAAAGATGAAGAACACAAGTTTGCCCAGGTTTATTTCAAATCCCGGAGACATGGACTAGGAAAAGAGGAGATTAGGGGCAGGGTTGAAAAAGACTTCATGGTGGGAGAGAGCTGTGGTGAAGGGGGATGCTCTTCCCAAGGGTGACTGGAGAGAGAGCAGACTGGCGAGGTAGGTCCTGAAATGTCAGGGCTGCACCTTGCAGGGTGTGCAACAGACAGAAACACTGGGGCCAGGAGCCACATCCTGCGGCACATGGGGAATATGCAGGTGAGCGTGGGAAGTGTGGACACCACAGGGATGTGGGAGTGAGAGTGAAAACGGAGCCTGGGCTTTCACTGAGGAGTGAGCAGCACCCGCTTCTCACTCTCCTTCATGAGACGGGGCCCTGGAGAAAGGTCTGCATCTCCACACCCACCCAGTGAGGCAGCAGAGCTGGGAGAGTGGGCTGGAGAGGCTCAGGAGGAGCAGGGGCCCAGCCTGACTGTGCCTGTGACCATGATCTGATTCCTCAACTTCACCAGGTGTTGAAGAGCCACGGACAAGACTACCTTGTTGGCAACAAGCTGAGCAAGGCTGACATTCTCCTGGTTGAACTTCTCTACAACGTGGAAGAGCTCAACCCCGGCGCGACTGCCAGCTTCCCTCTGCTGCAGGTGACCTACCTCACAGCCCTTCATGGGGCATACCCATCTATCATCTAACATTTAGCTGCTGGGGTTGATGAAGATGTGACCCCTTGCATTCTCCAGCCTTCACTACTGCTGCCCCAGGTTTCCAAAATTAGCTTCTAGGCACCGGTTCTAAGGAGAAAATAATCCACTTGCCAAGAAAACTTCTGTTGGCTGCCATCCCAGGAAGAACATTCTGCCTTTTAGCCAGGGCCCAGTACCTCTCTCCCTAGGCTCCTCTCCCACCATGCTGTCTGTCCCCGATTTCTCTGTAATTCCTTTCATCTCAAGTGTGTCCTTGTTTTTCGCACACCAAGTCCCTCTGAGGCAGGCATCTTCCTGTGTGATTTCTTTCCCTCAGCTCAAGCTCTCTCTGTCAGATTTTTGGTTCCTCTCTCTATAGTTTTGTTCCCACCCCACCATTCTCACAACTCTCACCTTTGTCTCTCTGTGTGGAAGCTGGTTGTGATCAACTCCTGGTTAGTCCTCACCATTTTCTCCATTTCCAACTCAATATTCCCATATCGTCAGTTCTCCTGTTTGGATCCCTCTGGTTTTTCATATCTGACAGACACATTTTCTTTCTTGTATGGGGGTTCTTCAAAGAGTTTGTGAAAAATATGTAGTACAAAAAAACTATGCTTGCATTTCAAAGTTGTTTTCCACTAAATTAAACTTCTAATTGCAGTGTTCCATGAACTTTGTGAAGCCCCCTTAAATTGTACAAGAGCCATGAATCTTCTAGATTAATGTATCGTTAGAAGAGAGAAGATTATGAACTCAAGAAGGTCTTAGCGACATCTTTAGGGAAATGCCACTGAGCTGTACATTCCTCCCCTCATCTGCATTCTCACTGGGGACCGTTTCCCAGCCTCCACACTGGAGCTGATGGAGAGGACTCGGTTGGTCTTTGTCTTGGAGTTCTCAGACTTCCTGGGCTGTGCTAATGATGGGGTGGTTTTTGCTCCTCTCTGAGGCTGTGATTTGTGCACTGCAGGCCCTGAAAACCAGGATCAGCAATCTCCCCACCGTGAAGAAGTTTCTGCAGCCTGGCAGCCAGAGGAATCCGCCTGATGATGAGAAATGCAGAGAAGAAGCAAAAATCATTTTCCATTAAGAAGGCAAAGATACCAAGCACAGGCAAGACCAGCCTCTGACCCCCTGCAGCGATGAAGTACTTTAAATAAATAGTGATCCTGATTGTCATAAGGCATATTACGTTTTCTAAGTATTGTGTAAATTTAATTAAAAACCACCCATGTAGATTTAGTTGCAATACATGGTACTTGGTTTTGATCAAATACAAAATTATGAGCACCTCCTAGGATGTCCCTTTGAACTTAAATAAAAGAAAAGTTACTTGGACTCTGAGCTATTATTTTGAGGGATCCAAGAATGTCTGTATATGGAGGAGCCACACTGATTTCAGCAGCTCTAGCAAACAAAAACAAAAAAAAAAAAAAAAAAGGAAGGACCATATTGTCAGGGGACTGACTGGCAGAGATTTTCAGTGGAGAAGTGAAAAATTAGTTCATATAATAGCTGTCATATACCTTTTCAAAAGACTTAAATAGAAATATTTATCTGGCACTCTGGTTTACACAAAAAATAGGCTTTCCCTTTTGTGTTTTGCTGTATTTCCTTCCTACAATATAAAAACTTTATTTAAAGGAATATTTTCCTTCAGATAATCAATTTTCTCCTGTTCAACTAGGCAATCAATGCATTTATGTCTAATGGAAAACTCAGTGTTCTAGGAGCTGGGGAAAGAATGATGAGTAAGCCAAATTCAGTCTTGCTCTCATGGGGGAAAAACACTAGCATAGGCAATTCTAATCTAAAATCCTGCATATCTGGTGTATCCTATTCTTGGTGTTGCCATTACAAATTACCACACCTTGTGTGGCTAAAGGTAGTTGAAATTTATTTGTAAAAGTGAGTTATGAGCAGGACCATATTCTTTGAAAGTTTTAGGAAGGATCCTTCTTTGCCTCTTCCTGGTGTCTGATGGCCAGGACCTTCCTTGGTTTGTTGGGGTGTCGCTCTAATCTCTGTCTCCATCTGCAGAGTGCATTCTTTTGTTTAAACAAAAATTTAGATGCCAAGAATTCTCTGAAGATAAAGTGTTTATTGACAGCTTTTGGATAGGAGGCAAAATAATGTACCAGTCCTAGGACAGATGACCTAAGCCACCAGCAGCACAGCTGACATCATTTGGAAAAGTATTCATGGACTCTAAAAAGCCAGAGTATTTTATAGTGAAACTTGTGGGAGGAGGAAACATCAATGGTTTACAAGGAATCTACATTAGCTAATAAATGAGGGAGGTGGGGAAACACACAGCCAATAACATTCTGAGATAGGATGACAGCTCACTAAAGAAAGTGTTTGTTCCTTCTTGATTGGTTGATTCTGATGAAGAGCCAAGGATTCCCTTTTAAAAAATATGTATTTACTAATAGATTTGAAATGCAGAGTTACAGAGAGAGGAAAGATAGATAAAGATCACCTATCCTCTGGTTTACTCCCTAAATAACTCCATCAGCTGGTGCTGGACCAGGCCAAAGCCAAAAGCGCTGAACTCCATTCAGACATCCCATATGGGTTCAGTATCCCAATTACTTGGCCCATCCTCTGCTGCCTTCCCAGACACATTAGCAGGGAGCTGGATTGGACATGGACCAGCTGCTACACCAACTGGCAACCATATGGGATCCCAGTTTCACAGGCAGCAGCCCAACCCACTGCATCACAATGGCAGCCTCAGCAATGTTGAATGTTTCCTCGATAGTCAGTCTTCAACATGCAGGAAGGGAATGTGGAACAGTTTATTTTTGTACTTTCTGTGCTGGCTTAACTCAAAGCTATCAGCTTCATATAAACCCTTATCTCACTTTGCTTTATCATCATGTTTGTAATTTAATTTAGAACAACTCAGAACCCTTTTTCTTATCACTCCCTTGTGTGTTATCTTTATCCAATCTTTCTTCTAATAACAGCCCTTTTCTAAGATTAGGGGTCTCCTTAACCGAGTATGACCACATCCTAACTTGATTATAGCTGCAAAGACACTATTTCCAGAGAAAGACACATTGACAGGTACTTAAACATATCCCTTTTGGGGACACAGTTTAACCCACAGCCTCAATCTAGGGAACAAGATAATGCTGGGAGTAAACCTCATCAGGAAATCTCTACCAGAATCCGTGGTCAGATGTGCTTTCTCAAGGAGCAGAGTTATATCTGATGTAAGATTTGCAGAAAAGGCAAGATATGGTTGGTGCAATCATTGGAACCATGGTTGGTCAGCAAGGGTAGAATCCAGTTGTGGATCAGCACATCAATGGTTAGAGTACGGAGGCTGAACCTGGGGAGTTTGAGGAAAGGAAAGACATTTGGTCTGAGAGGAGCATTGAAGCACAGGTAAGGTGGGGTGATGAGGAGATGAGGTCAGGAGACAAGGCCGAGAGACCTAAGGACTTTGGAGGCCATGGCAAGAAGCTTGAATGTCTGTTCTGAGGACAATGGGGAGCTCTTGGGATCACTAGAGCCTTACCCTTCATTTACCAGCCTGAAATATGTAAAATCACATCTTTCAAATCTTCTTTTTAAGTAATTTAAAAGCCATGTCAGAATAACAAGAACATTTTTCCTCCAGAGACTGCCTTTACTGCATTAAAACATAACTGTACACACATTAAAATGTCAGAGTTGATTTGAGCAAACAGCTCATTAGTGAATCCCACAGGGCCAGATCACCAGTGAACTGTGTTCCACCAAGGGAGGTATGGGAGATCAACTTTTATAGAGTGGTATTGGAAGAGAAACAAAGACAATATTCAATTGGTTATAGCAGAAATCACTCACTAGGTGTTAGTTGGTGGTTTCTAATTGGTTAAACTGAGTATTTTATTTTCCTAGGATATAAGCTTCATAGGATTTAGCTTCTTACGTAAAACGCAAGGCCCTCCTGCCACCTCAGCTTATTGTCTTCCTGGTTAATCAACAGCCACAATAGATCAGCCTAGGAGTTAACTCCATTCAAGGATTAAGTAGCCCAGAGAAAAATAGAAAATCCAGTCAGTCGTTTCCTACTGTCTGCCACATGGAACTCCTGTTGTTCTGACAGCTCCCTCATCAGAGGGGATTTGGTCATAACACTGGCCACCATTTGTCCACTTGAGGGACAGCAGCATCATCCTTTATAGCTTGCAGGAAGGGTGTCGCTCCCCCTCTTCGTGGAGGAGCAACACAGGACCCTGCGCTGTTCTTTCAGTCTGCTCGGCCCTCCCCGGGTTTGCTGCTGGTTCTTCCCGGGTTGGCTACTATCCCTTCCACCTCCGTGGAAGGGCAGTTCCCCCTGGCCGCATTCCCCACTTCCGCAGGGGAGCGGCACACCGCCGGCCAGCTTTCTCGGGGGCTGCACGGGTTCCCTTAGATGTTCCCCATAGATGTTCCCGGTGCATGCCGTCTCTCTCCTCCTTTATAGTCCTCCTCCGCCAATCCCAACTCGGCTGCCCACACGCCGAGTACGCTGCTCTCCAATCAGGAGCAAGTCCTACAGTTAATTGGTTGAACTGGAGGCAGCTGTGCGGAAGCTGTTTACTTCTCTCCCAGCGCCATATTGTGGGAGAGCAGATGCATAGAATAAGTCTTAATTCCAGTAACTCAGTCTAGTCCGGGTTGCTCCCCACAGATCCCCCTTTCTTTTTATTTTTTAGCGTTGATACGCGCCTGTCTTCGGTGTCCCGCGGCACACACTCTGCTCTACTTGCTAGAGTTGCCACAGGCTCTTACAAGTCCTATCAATCAGGAAAACCGAATCCGGGTCCTCTCTTCGCCATTGTGAGGAGGTTTTTAGGCGCTGATGCGTGCCTGTGTTCGGTGCCCTGCAGCGCATGCTCTGCTCTGCTAGAACTGCCTGCAGGTGTTTACAAAACCTATCAGGCAAACCGAATCCAAGCCTTCTCATTGCCGTATTGTGGGGGAGACTTATTAGTGTTGGTTTGTGCCTATCTTCGGTGACCTGCAGCTCATACTCTGGTCGAGCTGCTTGCTGGCACTTACCGCCTTAAATCAGGCAGACCGAATCCAAGCTTAATATTGTCGTATTGTGGGGAAGCCTTACTGATGTTAATTCGTGCCTGTCTTCGGTGACCTGCGGCGCATAAGCTGCTAGCCGCCCAGGTGCTCATCGCCTCAATCAGGCAGACCGAATCCAAGCTCTCACATTGGCATGTTGAGGGGAGGCCTTTTTATTTCTCTATTTCTCTATCTCCGGGCATTCCTATTTCTCCCATTTTACTTCTATCTTCCAGCATTCCTATTTTTCTCACTTTCTCTTATCCCTGCGGCTTTCCGGCACCTCGCCCCGCCGGCGGGTTCCCGGCTCTGCGCCGCTTCAGCCCGCGCGCCTCTCTCATCTGCGCAGCTTCCCGGCTTTGCGCGGCTTGGCTTCGCGCGCTCCGCGGTCTCCACGCTTAACCCTTTCGCGTCTGAACCACGGCCTCGCGCCAGCCCTGTTCCCTATCTATTCACGCCCCGTGCTCTCTCTGCACGCGGCGGCTTCCGCGAGTAACACAGCGTAGCTTGCGTCTCCACCACTAGCATTCAATCCAAGTTCCCCGGGCTAGCCTGGCGAATTCAACCCAGCGTACGTCTCCGCCCCACGATCTGGCTTCCCGTCCTTTGCTCCCCGGGCTAATCAGACGGATCCCAATCTGGCTTACGTCTCAGCTTCTGGTTTCAACTTTTCGCCCCCTATTCCCGGGCTAACTTGAGAATCCCAAAGTGGCTTTCGTTTCCGCCTTGGCCTGCCCCCCGCGGCTTCAATTTCCCTAACATTTTTCTCTACCCGGTATGTTTCCCCAAGCTTTCCTCCAACGATATTCCTCCCTCATTTCTCCTGGCCTCTCCCCACAGTCCGCGTCCGAGTCTGTTTGTTCTAGCTTTCACTTTCGCTTTCGACCTTAGAGATTTCTCCCAGCTTCCCCCCGTAGTCCGTATCCGAGTCTATGCCTAGGCTTTCAATAGCTTCTTCCGGCACCTTTTTCGTCCGGCTTTTCCCTAGGCTGTTTGCTAGTCTCTCTCTCCGGTAATTTCCCTAGGCTGTTTGCTAGTTTCTCTCTCCGATATTTTCCCAGTTCTTCCCGTTTCTTCCCTCCTAAGTTTGCTATCCGTCCTAGGTTTCCTATCCGAGCTAGGTTTCCTATCCGAGTCACGGCACCATTATGTCGCTCCCCCTCTTCGTGGAGGAACGACACTAAGTCCTGCCTAGGCTTCATATCCGAGTCACGGCACCATTATGTCGCTCCCCCTCTTCGTGGAGGAGCAACACAGGACCCTGCGCTGTTCTTTCAGTCTGC